CCGTCTTGCAGGCAGATTCTTTACCTGCTAAGCCACAAGGGAAGCCCAAGAATATTGGAATGGGTAGGCTATCCCTTCTCCAGGGGATTTTCCTGAACCAGGAACCAAACTGGGGTCTCCTGCATTGCAGGCAGATTCTTTACCAACTGAGCTATGAGGGAAGCTCTGCTATACAATAGGCACTTTAGATTTATTTCTCACAGTGACTTTTTGCAGTTGAGGAAACCAAAGTCTGAGGAGTTAAATCCTTTCCTAGGAACACACAGCTCATGAGTGATGGAGTTGGCGTCACCCACAATTTTCTAACTCCTCAGATCTGACCACTGCTGTACTCTTCTCCCTGGAATGAGATGGGAAATAGAAAATAAAGGGGTCTTAAGTGATACTTTTAAGGATAAATGATTCAAATCAATGCTGAGGCAGAGTTGGGGGAGAAGAATGTGGCATGTAAGAGATGCTGAAGGACTTACACTAAAAAAGTGCTGCGTTTTTCTCTGAATAGTAGCATTATGAATATTACTTACTTTCGGTGTTGTTATGCATGGTGCAGCTTTTCTAGGGTTGAGTCAGAGGGAACGGAAGGTATAAAATTCTACCCTGAAGCAAGAAGCCCAATTTTAAGTTAATATAAGCCAGCGTGAACAAGTTATGCAACCAGTAATCATGATTTGAGCAGTTTTTGCCCAAACTGCATCATTTTTGTAAGCCCCAAATGAAGCTTTCTTATTTGGGGCCACCCCAGACACCTGTGAGGCCTTCCAGGCAGTATTTGGTCTAGTCCACCCCAAGGCTTGAGGTGTGGCAAAAAAGACCATGTACTTAGGGACCCGGGTTCTGTTCCGGCATTTGGCTCTTAGTGTTTTTGCTGACAGCCGTTAGGCCAGTTACTCAGTCTTACTCAGTCTCAATACAGATGGATAGAATAAAAGTCTACCCTCCCTACCTTGTCAGGTGGTATAAAGGTTAATACTAACCTTTATAATAACACTAACCTGTTAATACTAACAGGTGTGAAAAAAATAACCCTAGTGGAAGGGTCTAGAGACCATTCCCAGGAGAGTAGCAAGGCTGGCTGGTCCAAAACCAAGCATGAGAAACTCATGGCGCTGGCTTCTCACGAGAGTGTGTCATGGGAACCAGCAAATCCAGACTGCATCTCTCAGGGCACCCAGAGTTCCCACCCTCTGAGGAGAGTCAGGCCATGGAGGCTTTTTAGTGATGGTTCTAGAGTTTATAGTATGTATCTTACCAGTCTTTACTTTCAAGTAATATTATGCTTTGTTGTTGTTGCTTAGTCACTAAGTCATGTCCGACTCTTTGTGACCCCATGGACTGTGTGTAGCCTGCCAGGCCTCTCTGTCCATGGGATTTCCCAGGTAAGAACACTGGAATGGGTTGCCATTTCCTTCTCCAAGAGATCTTTTCGACCCAGGGACTAAACCTGTGCCTCCTGCATTGACATACATTGGCATACAGATTGTTTACTGCTAAGCCACGAGAGAAGCAATATTGCGCTACTTCTTGTATAATATAAGAATTGTTCAGCAATATATTTCCATTTTACCCCTCCCATCCTTTGTGCTGTCATTGCATAAATTTTTCTTCTACATGTTATCATATGTATGTCACAATACATTTTTCAGCCTTTTTCCTCTCTCTGTTTCAGTTTAGATGGTTTCTATTGCTGTGTCTTCAAGTTCATTATTCTTTGGGGTATCTCATCTGCTATTAGTCCCCTTCAGTGAAATTTTTATTTCAGATACTGTATTTTCATCACTAGATACTCCATTTTGTTCTTTTTTATATCTTCCATTTCTCTACTCATTATGTTCATGTTTTCCTTTAGTTTCTTGAGAATATTTTAGATAGCTGTTTTTGAGGTCTTATTTGTTGATGCCATCATCTCTGACACTTCTGAGTTTGCTTCTGTTGACTGATTTGTCTCCTGGTTATGGATCACACTTTCCTCCTCCTTTGCATATCCAGAAATGTTTTTATTGGATGCTGGATACTATGAATATTAGATTGTTAAGTGTCTGGATTTCACTGTCCTCATTTAAAGAGTGTTAGATTTTATTCTGTCACGCAGTTATTTACTTGTGGGTCAATTTGGGTTTTTTGGGGGGTTTTTTTGAGGCTCATTTTTAAGTTTTGTCAGGGCAGGTCCAAAAGTAGCCTTTATTACCGTGGAGTGAGCCTTCTGGGGTCTCTGCCAAATGCCCTAGGTGTTTGACTTTCCATTCTGACTAGTGGGAACTTGCACCACGCCCAGCCTTGGGTGAGCTTTGGGACAAGTCTACCTTAGAAGCTGCCTGACGCATGTTTCTTCTCAAGTTTGTAGAGTCTCACTCGATTCAGCCAAAGGCTCAAGAAGACCTCCATTCAGATATGTGGAGCTCTCTGTCTCGCTGTTTCTCTCTCCTCTCCTCTTTCCTCTCAGGTACTCTGCACCTCCGCCTTCCAGAACTTTTCTCTTTACCCCATGCGCTCAGGAAGGCGGCTGTGCTGTGCGCGGGTCCTCCCTCCCGGCGCTGAGGTCTGGTGAATGCCTCCGGGCAGAAAGCCAAGGCGATCATAGGACTCATCCCTCACAGGACTCGCCACGCTCGCTTCCTTTCCGTCCCAGATCACAAGTCCTGCGCTGCTTATTCTCCAGTGTCTGAAAGCCCTTGTTTCATGTATTTTATCCGGATCTCTAGTTGTTTACAGTGGGAACTAACAATTCCCTTTGAGATTCCCTCCAGGGTAGTACACATCCATGATGCAGACTGGATGTATGCTCAAGAAACTTGTACAAGGCCGATTTAGGGCCAATAAAAGACAGTGAAAAGGCAGTAGGGTCATTTTGATCTGCTTCTTAGAGAAACTCAGGATAAAGACTCACAACCCTGCACTAAGTCACGTTTTATAATAGAAATCATTAATATCCATCAACTGACATGGGCATAAGTAAAACATGGCCTATCTGTATATGGAATCTAGTTTGACAATAAAAAGAAAGGGAGTACTGATGAATGCTACAGCATGGAAGAACACAGATGAACATGCCCAGTGAAAGAAGCTAGTCACAAAAGATGACACTTCGTCTGATTGCATATATGTGAAATGTCCAGAGTAGACAAATTTGTAAAAACATAAGGCAGATCAGATGAGTGGTTGCTTCCTGCTGGGGGTGGGGGATGGAGTGACTGCTAATGGGTACAGGATTTCTTTGGGGGAGGATAAAAACATTCTGAAATTAGACTTAGCGATCACTGCCCAACCTTGTGAATATACTAAGGAATGTTGAATCTCACACTTTCCACAGGTGGATTATATGGTCTGTGAACTATATCTCAGTAAAACTGTTTATAGAAAGAAAGACTCATTAGTGGTGTTCTCCAGCACCGAAGGACATGAAAGGTTGGAGAAGGGCTGTAGAGGTAGTAAGGAAGTCTGAGCTTTTACACAGGTGGATGTACACGTCATGGGTGGTATTCAGTCTTGGACTGAGAAACGTGACCACAGGAGAGTTTGCAGTTTACTGGCAGATAAGTAATGTTGGATGTGTGTGTGTGTTATGTGTGTGTGCATGCTCAGTTGTGTCTGACTCTTCATGGCCCCATGGGCTGTAATCCACCAGGCTCCTCTGTCCATGGAATTCTCCAGGCAAAAATAATGGAGTGGGTTGCCATTCCCTTCTCCAGGGGATCCTCCCAACCCAGGGATCAAACCCACATCTCTTGCATTTCCTGCATTGGCAGGTGGATTCTTTGCCACTGTGTCACCTGGGAAGCCCCTGATGTTGGGTGTTAGTCTTAAAATCCATTTGTCTTTTCTTAATTCCCTCAACTGTGCCTCAGCCAGGAGCAGATTCTTGCAGAGTCTCAGTTATACCCCCTTTCTAGTGTTCTCTGCTCCCTGGACCCTTGTCAGCAATGGGCATTCACTGAGCGGCCACCATCTGCAGGGAGCAGGGGCCTCAGGGCATGTCTGGCCTCGGCCTTGACCCCAGCTGAGCCTGAGGGCAGAAGGGCACGGAGCCTCGCGTGGCCTCTGGGGACTGCAGCGTCACCTCCGTGTCCTCCGTGTCAGGTTCAGAGCCTCAGAACAAGGGTGACACAGTGGTCACATCCCAACCGAAGATGGAAGATAGGCCCCTCCTCCTGCTGGCTCTTCTGTTGTCAGAGACGAAGGTGGTTCGTTTGGAGTGAGTGACCTTACCTTCGTTAAAAGCAGTGGGAGTTTCCTGTGAAAGAAAAATGTGTTCTTCATCTGCAGGCTTCTTTCAGGGGTCTTCAACAGTATGCTCCTGAGTGGATATTTAAGCTAAAACCCTGAGCTTTGCTTAAGAATACTATTGGCAGGACTTCCCTGGTGGCTTAGTGGTTGAGAAATCCGCCTGCTGATTCAGGGGACAGGGGTTCAGTCCCTGGCCTGGGAAGATTCCACATGCCTCAGGGCAACCAAGCCCACGTGCCACAACTACTAAGCCCGCGCCGTCGAGGCCATGCCCCACAGCAAGAGAAGCTACCACAGCGCGAAGACCCCGCACCCCAACCAGAGAGTAGCCGCCCCTCAGCGCAACCAGAAAAAGCCCACACCCAGCACCAAAGACCTAGAGCAGCCAAAAATAATTATTAAAAATACTCATGACGAGCATATACTGCGTGCTCAGTGTGTGTTCTGAGTGCGTTCAAGTGTTATCAACCCCTTGACTGATCTTGTTTCCATGGTATGTAGAGAGTATAAAGAGACTGCATTTCTTTTTTCCACTGTTCTGTCTTTCACATTAATTTTTGGTAATTCAGGTAGATTTTTCCTACAGATATTGTGGTATGACCACAGCAGCTCAGTAACTCAGCATCCAGGTTGGACCAGGCCCTCAGCCAGCTAAGCCAGGAGGTTGGCCGGGGACTGGGGGGAAGAAGGGAGAGGGGACGGCTCCACACATCTGACGCGCCCGTTGCTAGGTGAGGCCAGCACACTCATCAGATGTGCTGTGTGTGGTTTCTCTCTAGGATCATCCACGAAGATGGCTTCTCTGGCGAAGACGTGAAACAGTACAAGCCCGTGGTCTACAGCAACACCATCCAGTCGCTGGCGGCCATCGTCCGGGCCATGGACACTCTGGGCATCGAATATGGTGACAAGGAGAGAAAGGTAGGCCGCTGCACCCGTGGGCCTGGGGAGGAGACGGCCTGTCTCCGGTACCCGCCGTGTCCTCTATAAGGCCGGGCTGCCGCGTGGGGACAGGACGAGACTGTGCTGTGTCACCAGTCAGCATCGTCCACCTGGCCAGGACAGGCCAGCAGGGGGCTCCAGCGGCAGGCAGACGGCCACAGCACTATCACCGACGGAGGCGACAGATGCAGAATTCCAGGGTTTATTGTGTAGATGACGAAGGGTTGGTTACACTGCCCTCAATCGTGACCCTCACAACATTGGCCAAGTACGTGCCCTTGGGCAACTCACTTGAACATAAAAAAATATTTTTTAGCCACTACAAGCCCCACCTGGCCACCATCTCCCCTCCTTAGGGGAGCTTCCCTTTCCTTGCCGGTGGTGGGGGCAGCCGTTCAAATCCACTCTCTTCCTCCTTTGTGCCAGAGGGCTATGCTTTCTGCCCGTCTGAGGTGAGTCTGAGGACCAAGGGCACTCTCCTTCCTGCAGGAAGTTGACATCCTAGAACAGGGACAGTTTTCAGTTGAGTTTCCAGACTTCTGATAGGTGGTGAATGGAATAAGTCATAAAAACTCTGATTTGCAAATGTCTGCGTTCACTGAACCTTATACAGCTGTACTGGAAAAGCCAAATAAAAGGGGCGCGGGGAAACAGCTTTGGAAAATTCTCTCCAGGAGTGGCTCTTTGTCTCCTGCTGGGACTCTGAATCTCAACCATCCCTTCCCCATGACCTGGAGTGTGAGGTGGGGAGCAGGTGGAGGCTGCCAAGTGCCTAGGCCCCTCGTTGAAACCTCTGGGTAGAGAGCATTAAGCTCCGATTACCGTGTGGTTTGGTTGTGCACTATGTATATATCCTTTCTTTGCCAAAAAATTACCTCCCTCACACAGGAAAACCATCCTCACCTTCGCTGTGTGTAATAAATCATCTGTGACAGATAGCTTTAAATGTAAAATTCAATATTTTATGCACAAAATCCTAATTCTCTGCGACAGTCACCCCAGCTCAGGCATCACCTCCACCCAGAGGAGGGGAAATTGAGTGACTGAGGGTGTCCAGGGCCGGCCTGGGGCGGGGAAGCCAGGCGCCGCCCCTCAGCGAGGAAACCCTTCTCCCTGGGGACAGGCTTTGGTTTTGGTCACAGAGCCAGGGCCGTGGAACAAGGGACACTGCGAATTCTTCAGTTTTATTTGCACTAAGAATTCACTGAGGATACAGCGTGCCAGGCCTTGCTGGAGAGGTGTGTGTATGAGTCACTCATTCGTGTCCAACTCTTAGGACCCGATGGACTGTAGCCTGCCAGGCGCCTCTGTCCATGGGATTTTCCAGGCATGAATGCTGGAGTGGGTTGCCATTTCCTTCTCCAGGACAGTAGAGCTAGAGAGACCCGTCAGCAAAGAGCAGCTCAGAACATCAGATGTAGCCAAGACAGGTTGCCAGTAGCCAGACAGGTTACAGGGCTTCATTCATTTTCATGATAACGGTCACAACAGTAACACCAGTAGCTCTCTTGTACTGAGCACCTACTAGTGGCCAGGGACTGTGCCATAAGCACTTCACAAGTACTGGCTCACTTTTGTCAACGTGGGCGGGCGTTAAAGCAGGACATGCCCAGTCCGGTCTTCAGACACGGGACGGGCCTTTGGTCTCTCTGTCTGCCTTTTGGCCAAAGAAAGCTTGGTGCCTGAATCTCAGTTAGCCAGACGACAGACACAGTGCAGAAGGCTCACGTGTCCATAGCACACACTTTACACAAACACACACACCCCCACAGCCTGCGAGACCTTCCAAAAGTGTGTGTGTTCACTGCCACGCCCGCCTCTCTTCCTTCCTCAAAACCTCCTGCCCTGCTTATAACCCTAAACAGTCAGCGTGACTTTGAAATGCTTTTCTCCTTTGGTTTTGGAAAACGTTATTACTGTTCCTGGAGGATTTTGTTTTCCCAGTTTATTTTCCTGAGTAGAGAGGTGGTTGCTTGGGTATTGCTAGGAACATGACGTGTTAAGGTCTATACTGCGGGGCCCCTTGGCCTCTGTGGCTGTTTCTTGTGTGGTGGAGACAGCCCTCAAGTAGAGGGTTGGGAAAGGCTCCACTGAGAAGGGAGACCGAGAACAGCACGGGTGCTCCCTGGAGAGTCCCCGGGCACGGAGGAGCTAGAGCCCGGTCCTCTGCCGGCAGGCGGCACCAGGGCACTCAGGCTTGCCAGGAAGTCCTCCAGGCCCCCGGGCGGCTCCTCCTGTTCTATTTCACCTTAGGCCACAGTGAGGCAGGCAGCAGGAGAAGGTGTTTTCTGGGAGTGATCTGGTGTGGATTTGCTGTCCAGGAGCTGCGTGCAGGGACCACCTCCCCCACCCTGCCCCACCTGTCAACTGTGGGGGATGTGGGGGGTGAGGTGGAGCGGGGCAGCTACTTCACAGTAGGTGGCCAGGGAAGGTTCCCCTGAACATGAAAGGGATGTTTGTGATGAAACGGCCTCGAGAAGGAGCCTTGGGAGGAAGAGAGGCAGAGGCTCCAAGCAGACACCACCAAGCCCTGAGAGAGAAGTGAGCCTGGTGAGTTGGGAGTGAGAAGTGGGGAAAAAAAAATGAGGCACAGAGAGGCAAAGCGATTTATCCAAGGTCATTCAGCACAGAATACATATTCATAGGTTTGTAACCCTAAGGAAGCTATGATCCACGTGGCTCAGGTCCAGGGCAGAGTCCCATTTAAAGAGACGCAGGACAGCCAGGCAACACAGATCTTCAGAACCCTGTTCTTCTGCGTCTCTCCAAAAACACAGAAAGGCACTCAGAGGACAGCTCCTACTGCTCTCCTCTCAGGTCCTTTCCTGTCTTCCTCCTGTCTGTCCCAGTCCTGCTTTCTTGAACTGCTTTCTTCCCAAGTGCCCCTGACATCTTCTCTCTACCCACCCCCACAAGCCTACCAGGCTTCTCCCCTCTTGCTTCTCATTTGTTCTCTGCCTCCTGCCTGCCGTCTTCCTCCCTCTCTCCTCCTCTCCCTCTCTCACGTCTCCAGCAGTCTCTGTCCCCTTGCTCCACCTCCTTCCTCCGCCTGCTCCCCACCTCTCTCTGCATCTCCATCTCCCTGCTTCCTCCCACCTCCCTACTCACCCCAGCTCATTGTCATGTAAAGTATCCTAAACTTTTGAGAGGATCTTCCCCCTCCCACTTCTCCCTCCATCCTCACGCCCAGGGCCTGCATCTGCTGTGATGCAGAGAACCTCATCTGGCAGAACTGGCCTCAACCCTGACATTGGAACAAAGTCTGGGGGAAACTGGACAGTTAGAGGATTAGGAGGTTCATTTGGGCAAGCAAAGGATGGGGAAAGTCTATAAACACTCCCTTGTGATAAATTTGGTCACACCCACGTGTATATAGAAATACACACAAAATTTATGTGCATATGCAATGTATACTTGCATATGTAAAGCACATTATAATGGAACAATAGCAAAGAAATAATGGTTTGAACTCATGTGATGCTTTATTCAGTTGAAAAACCCTCTCATTTTCATTTTTTCATTGTGCACATGCCTATTTCTCCCACTAAATTTTAAACTCCCCCTGCACAGAATGTAGGTCTTATCTATTACAATGCCTGACATAAGAAGTATTGGATAAACTGCGTTCTAATCCCAGTTCAACCACCAACTCTATGGCCCTGGGTACACTATTTAGCTTCCTCAGTATTTCTGTCTGTAAGATGGACATAATTCTAATACCACCCCCATTCATCTGGTGTTAAGGTTAGATGAGGTAATGCACATGGAACGCTACGACAGTGCCTGACACATACAGCAGTCCGGGGTCAGTGCCCGAAGCAGGACTAAAGTCAGTGCTGGTGCTGGAATTGCTACCCAGCCTCTGAAGGTTCACCAAGGGCCTTTATTGGAATGCCCCCTCCCTGCCCTGAGATGAGATAACTGTACTCTTTGGGGAGGCAGAATCAGATTTCACACTTAGATTCTAGAATGTCATCGGATCTCCTCTAGTAAGAGAAATCTTGCCATTTGAGTCACACAGTGGAGCACTGAACACTGTCTCCTTTTTAATAAGGGAAATGCTGTGATGCAGTCTCCACAGTGCAGTGCTGTTTACCCTGTGGTCTACAAGAATTCTGAAACAGACGAAAACAAGGATGCTCTCTAGTCTGTATCTGCTTGAGTTGCTGGGGTCTGGAGAAACCTCAGCAGTCGTTGTCAGGTCTGATGGGGGGCTGGGGAGGTGACAGATGAAGGCCCAAACCTGAGGCCGGAAAGAGGCTTCCTCCGGGCAGCGGCATGTACACCACCATGCGCTGGACACCGCCACTCTTCAGCTGAGCAGACCAGCCCCGGCCCAGCTCTGACCCTGCCCACCCAGGTTACAGAGCTTGAAACTCCTCCGTTTAAGATCATCTAAATCTGCTGTTCCATTTTGCAGATGAGGGCCCCACCTGGCCCCAACAGGAAAGAGACTTACTCCAGGGATGACGTGGCAGGCCCAGGACTAGAACTTGAGGTTTTCTGAATCTCTGCTCAGTTCTCTTTCCATCTCAGCAGCCTGCCCCAGATCACTCAGCAAACCTGGGGCCTTGTTGTCTTTCTTTTGGTGGGTCAGCCAGTCATCCCACAGATATTCAGTCAGCAGTCACAACACCCCTGGCAGACAGTGCACAGGGAGGCAGGGTTAGACGCAAAAACGAGGGAGCCCACCCTTTGATTTGCAAGGCCTCCCCGGCTCTGCAGGGTTCAATGCAGCCAGGTCGGCTTGCTTCCTGTCATCTAAGACTGGCTCAGGCCCCAGGCCCTGGGTTTGGGGCAGGTGTCTGTTTTTTAAACCCTGCCATAAGGAGTGCCACACCTGGCTGCTAGTACCTTGGCCCAGGTTGGCAGCATAAGTGGCTCTTCCTGGCCCTCCTCCAAAAAGACCAACTCAGGGGAACGGCAGGTTTTAAGATGGGAAAGGTAGAGGCGGGGGATTAAAACGCCAGGTTTTGAGA